CCGGCAGGAGAGTAGTCGGTGGGACCTCCAACGAGACAGGACAAGGAGCTGGCAGGACCCCCGGCAGGAGAGTAGACGGCGGGACCTCCAAGGGGACAGGACAAAGGGTTGGCAGGACCCCCGGCAGGAGAGTAGTCGGCGGGGCCTCCAACGGCACAGGACAAAGGGTTGGCAGGACCCCCGGCAGGAGAGTAGACGGCGGGACCTCCAACGAGACAGGACAAAGGGTTGGCAGGACCCCCGGCAGGAGAGTAGACGGCGGGCCCTCCAACGGGACAGGACAAAGGGTTGGCAGGACCCCCGGCAGGAGAGTAGACGGCGGGACCTCCAACGGGACAGGACAAAGGGTTGGCAGGACCCCCGGCAAGAGAGTAGTCGGCGGGACCTCCAACGTGACAGGACAAGGAGCTGGCAGGACCCCCGGCAGGAGAGTAGTCGACGGGACCTCCAACGGGACAGGACATGGAGTTGGCAGGACCCCCAGCGGAACCTCCAACGGACCAGGACATTGGGTAGGAACTTGAGACGTGACTCGAGAGGGGACTCGAGAGGAGACTCGAGAGGGGAACTAGAGAGGGGACTAGAGGAGGGACTAGAGGAGGAACTAGAGAAGGGAACTCGAGAGGGAACTCGCGAGGGGAACTAGAGAGGGGACTCGAAGAGGGACTAGAGAGAGGACTAGAGGAGGGATTAGAGAGGGGACTAAAGGAGGGACTAGAGGAGGGAACTCGAGAGGGAACTGAAGAGGGGACTCGAGAGGGAACTGGAGAGGGAACTGGAGATGGGACTAGAGAAGTGAACTGAGGAGGGACTAGGGAAAGGACTAGAGAAGGGAACTCGAGAGGGGACTCGAGAGGGGAACTAGAGAGGGGACTCGAAGAGGGACTAGAGGAGGGACTAGAGGAGGGAACTCGAGAGGGGACTGGAGAGGGGACTAGAGGAGGGACTAGAGAATTGACTAGAGGAGGGACTTGAGTAGGGACTAGAGATGGGACTAGAGGAGGGACTCGGGAAGGGACCAGAGAGGGGACTAGAGAAGTGACTAGAGGAGGGACTCGAGAGGGGACTTGAGAGGTGACTCGAGAGGGGACTCGAGAAGGAACTTGAGAGGAAACTGGAGAGGGGACTTGAGAAGGAACTTGAGAGGAAACTGGTGAGGGGACTCGCAAGGGGACTCGAGAGATGACTTGAGAGGGAACTCGAGAAGAGACTCGAGATGGGACCTGAGAGGGAACTCGAGAGGAGACTTGAGAGGGAACTCGAGAGGGAACTTGAGAGGGGACTCGAGAGAGGACTCGAGATGGGACCTGAGAGGGGACTTGAGAAGAGACTCGAGATGGGACCTGAGAGGGGACTTGAGAGGGGACTTGAGAGGGAACTTGAGAAGAGAATCGAGAGGGGACCTGAGAGGGAACTCGAGAGGAGACTTGAAGGGTGACTTGAGAGGTGACTCGAGAGGTAGCTCGAGAGGCAACTGGAGAGGGAACTGGAGAGGAGACTTGAGAGGGGACTTGAGAGGGGACTTGAGAAGAGAATCGAGAGGGGACCTGAGAGGGAACTCGAGAGGAGACTTGAAGGGTGACTTGAGAGGTGACTCGAGAGGTAGCTCGAGAGGCAACTGGAGAGAGAACTGGAGAGGAGACTTGAGAGGGGACTTGAAAAGGAATTTGAGAGGGAAGTCGAGAGGGGACTTGAGAGGGGACTTGAGAAGGGTCTTGAGAAGGAACTTGTGTCGGTCGGTACGCCGACAGGACACGGGGAGCTGGCGTCGGCTGGAGAGCCAGCAGGAGACGAGGTGCTGGAGTCGGCCGGTACGCCGACAGGCCTCGGGGAGCTGGCGTTGGCCGGTACGCCAGTCCTGGAGCCGAAACTGGAGTCGGGACCATGGCTACTGGGGCCGGTACTGAAGCCAGAATCATGGCTGTAAGGTCCGGTTCAGGAGCCGGAAACATGGCTGTAAGGTCCGTTTCTGGAGCCGGAAATATGGCTGTAAGGTCCAGTTCTGGAGCCGGAAACATGGCTGAATGGGCCGGCTCTGGAGCCGGAATTGAAGCCAGAATCTTGGCTGTAAGGTCCGGTTCTGAAGCCGAATCCATGGCTGCCGGGACCGGTTCTGGAGCAAGGACCATGGCTGCTGGGGCCAGAACTGGGTCTGGAACAATGGCCCTTTGGGCTCGTGCTGCCAACCTGGCCTTGCGACTCCTTCCTTTAGGAGCCGTTTGGAGGCTCCGTGGACCTCCAAAGGCCAGACGAGTACCAGCGAATGGCTCCTGGACTGTAGCAAACACTGGGTGAGAAGCAGGGGCTGACGCCAGACGGACCACACCGATGCGTGTGGTATCAAAACGGGAGTTGGGAGGCCTGGGGCTGTCAGGCAAGGGATAACACACCGTGAGAAAATCCAAAATCCTGCCCGATAAGAATTTAACCAAGCCTGGCTTCTCCATAGTAATCCGGCGTGCCTCTGCCAGAACAGCCTCTCGCTGCTGAACCCTGGACGCTCCCAACCATCGATACGAGCAGTCATCCAAAGCAAAGGAAAACTCCAATAGCTCCTGCTCAAAAGGATCTGCTGGGCCCATATTTTGGTCGGGTTGTAATGTTACGGTGGCTGTTACGGTGTGCAGGAAGCAGGACCCAAATGCAGATTAGAGTAACAATAATTCCTTTATTTCAAGGCTAGATATAGGCTACACAAAGACAGCACGGAACACTCACCGATGAACTGGTCATAACACAAGACAACCCGACAAAGAGAGACAGAAAACCCAGAACTTAAATACACCCAGGACTAATCACATAAACACGAGACAGGTGAGGAGGGAGGAGAAAACACAGAGGTACCAGGTGAACACAATCGGGTAATCGGGGAGGGAAACAGACAGAAAGCAAACAGGCAGGAAACGGGGGTGAACACTTTACAAAATAAAACAGGAAACCCAAAGATAGAAAAAGACAAGAAAAACACCAACACAGACAGATCCTAACAGATACAGGAGCAGTTGCTTTAGGGCCGCATAGCCCTTTAGGTCAAAGCATTGGACTCGTTTGTTCATGTCAAGATTGTAAGAAATGAAATAGCATACAGATAATAACTTGCAATGTACAGTTCAGTTTGCCTGCTTGTTTTTAAGATAATTTATCCCAGCTGTTTTGCTGCCAAGAGCTTCTTTCTGGGTAAATATGTAAGTCATTTGAGGTATTTGACACCTATTTGATGCAGCTAGGCCGCCGAGCTGAAGGCCCTGAGAGCAGCGAGCTCCAGATGAGAGGGGCAGGTGGTCCGGAACAGTATTGCTAGGAAAATCTCCAGTCGCTCTGCACAGATGAACAGGTGCTGCATGACATGCGATGGACTGCACTGTAATGCATGCCCCCCACCCCAAACCACCGTACTGCTTCCCTCAGTGTTAGCTGGCACTCATATTTTAGTTAGACTGCTGTGGCCACAATAATAAAAGCCTTGTCTTCAGAAAGGCCTTTGAGCTTGATATTTTTGAAGAGGGGGAGGCAGGGAGGATATGGGGGACAGCTACAGGATGGATTATAATGACATTTGGTTTTTAAAGGATGACCAACATCAGCTCATAATTCTGATAACTCAAATACTTCAGTTTTTGACAAAAATGTTTTGCAAACTATTGATATTCCCATCAGGTTCTGCTGTACTCTGTGTTTTGTTCCTATTACAGAATGTTATGCTAACATGCAAGACTAAGATACTGTAGATACCTTAATTAACTGGTAAGCGTAAGTCTGTTAGCATCCTCATTGTGAGTATGTGAGCATATGGCGCTAGCCATTTAGCTTAAAGTGAGAATGCCTGGTAACTGTATAATTAATTGATTTGGGAATTTAAACATTTTAAATATTGAAAGCGAAATCCACCTGTAAAATTCAGTGTCAAAGTATTCTTTTAGAATCTAAAGGGGTAACGTTATTGTTTGAAATGTTACTGATACTTATCATGAGTTCACCCTTTCAAACTAAATTCTCGGGAATAAAAAACCTGTTTACTTAATAGCTGCTTGCAACCTATAGAATCATTTCCACAATGTGTTCCCCTCCAGTCAATGCAGAAGGCATTCATATGGAAAACGTAAGGCTGTATCAGTTTCTCCCTGGAGGAGCTGCCAGCAGTGAATCAAGGCCTGACTGTGATGTGTTCAGGAACATCAAAAAGATGATTATGACTTTGCAGCGTGCACAGCTGTCAGGTGCTCCCTCAGTAGTTCACTTTGTTCTCTCACTCTGGATGGGAACAAGAAAATAACTATTTTTTTCCCCGTAACATGAATGAAACATGCCCCTGCATGTCATGATGAAAGAGGACAGCTGCTTTTTTGTCATTTCCCTGGCACAGGAACAGGTCCAAGCATGGGTGCAGTTTCTGTACTTTTTACATTTTCTTTTCAGTTACTATGTTCATACAAAATCGGAACATTGAAGGACACCCATGTGTTAATAATACTTAAAAATGCATTGTAGACAATGTGACTGAAAGGTAAGGAGTTTAACATGATAGGTAATGACAGTGAACATATATTAAGTTTACTTTACTTGATATGTTTGTGGGAGAAGGCCACCAGTGAGCTCCGAATAGTTTTCTTCTGTAAAATATCATTCTCACTGCATATTAAAATAAATATAGATTTTTTTAAAAGCCTACGTGTCTTATTACACTCGGCACACACATGGTTGTTAGCTAACTAGCTACCGCTAACATTCTGCATGTCTAGAATAAAAGGAGACCCGGGGGACAGGGGCTATGTGACCCGCTCTATCGAAATCAGTCGGAAGTCGCAACGGCTCATTTAAAAATAAACGTGGATTTGCGTAAAAAACTTCGGGTCAATGCGACTGATTTCGATAGAGCAAGTCACATATAGCCTATCCCATCTGGCCTGGGAACAAGAATGAAAGGTCTCAGAGGAAGTGCTGGATACATCAAGTGCAGAATGAGAATGAATGGGTCAGTTTGGGTTGGATCTGGTTCTTACCTCACTCAGTCTGCAGCATTGGTCCATGTAGTCCTTCAGGCTGTCAATAGTGTCACTCCTTCCTATGGGCTCAGGCTCACAGTCGTTGTCCATCATGTCATCACAGGCTCCTGGTGAGGAGTGCTTCCTCTGCCTTGTGTCCTCTGAGCAGGTCCATTCTCCTACAGCTCTGGTGTCCTGGAGCTGTTCACACATCTCAGCCCTGCACTGTTCCCTCTCTGTGAGCAGGTCCACTCCCACAGCTGGACTCAGTTCCTCTGAGTGTGTGAACACATTATCCTGAGTATCCCCTGCTGTACTAAGACTGATATCCACTGAGTCCTCTGCCTGATGGATCTCAGATGTATGTTCATCATGCAGAGAGGCAGGGTCAGAGTTCAGGATGCAGGAGTTGCAGGAGGACTCTCTGCTGTGGACCACGAAGCTGTGCTCCGAGCCAGTTGGGGTGGACGGAGAGTTAGCTCCACTCGGCAGCTCCACTCCAGAATCCTCAGACTCAAACTTATATAGCCTCGGCAGCTGGGAGTCTGAGAAAATAGCAGATAGGTAGTCTGGCCCCGACTTTTCATCAAGACGGTACTTCAGCTCAGAGGCTGTGATGGGCTCCGAGATATCCTGCTCTGAAACGGACGCAGTGGAGAGCGTGGACACAGAGTCTTCTGCCACCAGGAGCCTCTCCTGGAAGTTGCTAAAGAGCTTAATTTTGGTCAGGACCACCTCACTGTCCTGCACCGCATCTCTGTCTCCTTTCCCTGCAAACAGATGAAGAAGCATGGATTTATGCTTGTAGGCCTTGCAAAGTCCCACTATAAAAGGTTCTTTGAAAATGCTTTTTTTGTATCTAATGCCGTTAAAACTGTTTTAATTTACTGGCACAAAATATAAAGTGTTTCCTGATTCGACCCAGCAATTGTTAAGGTTTGGTTAGGTTTAGAAACAAAAAAGACTGGTTAGGGAAAAACATGGTGTTTTTCTTGGGAGAACAGTGTCCCCCATCTGCATACTGTACCTGGGCCCCCAGTTTGAACTGTTTTCACACAGTCTGAAATGTGAGAGCTGATGCCTCAAAGGAAACAAAAGACCTTCAAATACTTGAAGTGAAGCCAAAGTGTAGCTTAGGGCTGCCAGAGGGAGGATTTTCTTGACCTAAAATCCACAATAACTTAAATTAATCGAGAACAAAACAGAAGACTGAAGAAGCGCAGGCATTACAAGCATTCTGTCAACATCAGTGGGCTATGGATGGAACATGTGCACCATCAAACAAATGCATCTGTACGACTGGAAGACTGGTGTTCATGTAATGCTACATTCCTCTGTGAAATACCACAGGAGCCACACAATGTGTCAGTGTCCCCGACCTGTCCAGCTTTGATCAGAAGCTCCAGTTAAGACCATTATAGGGAGCAGCCATATGTGTCCTCTCCTCTTTCTCAGAGTGGGCAATCTGATATGTCTCTCTGCCAATCAAATGGACATGTTCTCCCTACCTTTATACCAAATTCTAGTTACCCAAGAAAAATGAAGGGGCCCTTATTAAGTTAAGGGTTGTTATGTTTGTTTAATCAAATACAACTGCAGTTTACACCATTTTGGAATAACATAGTTTAATATGAGGGCTACATGACACCCATCAATAAAGGAGGTTTGGTAACTTCCTGAAGGTGAACTGGATTACAAAATTAGAATGAAGAATTATGAAATTACTCATAAAATGTAATAAAATACAAATAGAGATAAACATTAAAGGTCACCTATCATGCAATTTCTAGGCAATAACATAGGTCTCAGATATATAAAAATGTATATAAAATATGTCTATGAAGTGTGTTGCTCAAAATACCAAACAGATCACCCATTCTAGCCATTCCTCATATCTCTCTATTTCACTTCCTGTTACTAAATTGCTGATTCGGTGTATAAAGCTTTAAAATGAATAAAAAAAGAGGGGGCGTAGGTTATGCCTGCTCATGCGGGACCCGGTATATACTGTCTAAACGCTGCGGTGATGAAACGCCAAAATCACATCAATGATTATTCCTGAAACAGTATGGAGCTCAAAGGCTTTCTCTCTCAGGTTTACCACAAGGTGAGTTCCTTTTTATCTCCTGCTTCTTTACACAGGGGGCCCTTCTCACTTCTCTTATTTTTCATTTCCTCGCTCCTCGGTCTCACCGGAAGTTGATTTGTCTGCGCCATCTTGAGTAGCGTCCCAATGGCCTTATTTTTGCCGGAGGAGCGAGGAACGAGGAGCTATAACCGAGGAACCACCAGACCATCCTTCGATGAAATCCTCAGACACTCGTCCCGCCCCTTTACTGTGTATCACTCACTGATTGGACGATGCAGTGCATGCACTGATCTGATGCTTCTTGACATGAGAGCAGTTTCCCAGCGGAGTGAAGAAAATACATGAAACTCACGAGAGTCACTCCTCAGTTTATACTGTGTTTTGTTTCAATTCATGTTTCATTTAGTTACAAATATGTGATATTTCTGAACAACAAAGTGGTCAAAAATCATTTTATTCATTTGTTGGAAACATTTTCATGATTGCTATTTTCGTTTTACATTTTCATTTATTGTCATTTCCATTCAGTCAGTCATTAAGTGCTATTAAAATGTTAATGTGCTACATATCCAAACAAACAAACAAAGTGTGCAATCCAATGAATGTTAATCTAACTGGGTTTTGATAGATAACATCTCTCTTTTTCTTCTCTCAATTATTTTATTTCTATTGTGCACTCTAATCAATATTAATCCAACTATTGTTCGTTTATACATTTTAAGAATGGCGTTTATCTTTTTTGAGAATTAGTTCTTATTTTATTTTAATTATTTGGGTCTGCAACAGATGATACAAATGTTTGTGTCAGTAAATGTGTACTAACAGAGGCGGGGGTGTGTGGAAATAACGGGGACAGAGCTGCTGTCAGACGATCAGCTGTGCGGCGTCATCACAAACGGACGTCGCTTCACGTGACGCTCCGGAGGAAAGGACATCCCATTGCTCTTAAAACTCATTTCCCTGCTTCTCGTGGTTTCCTTGCGTCTCTCCATGCTTCCCTGGTGGGAGGGACTAGAGGCAGGGAAACGACGCAAGTGAGGGACGCAAGGAATCCATTTAACCGAAGTGAGAAGGGCCCATACTCTCCCCAGTACAGGTTAGCTCTGAGTGTTAGCGATGCTTGCTAATGTAAACAAAGACACGAAAAACGTCGGGCATTGATTCTGAAAGCAAGTTTCTGATAGTGCCGTGGGTCCACCATCCGATATGACATAATATACGTCATATCGGATGGCAAATCTGGATCAGCTCGTTGTAGCCCCATTTTTAGAGATTTGCGCACGGAGGAAAAGAGAGAGGGTTTTGTTTTCTGAAACTTTGTGAGTTCCCTGACTCACCGGGAACACATATTTATGTATAAAATACATACAAAAGTGCATTTTGCATGATAGGTCCCCTTTAACATTTTATGTTTTAAAAACAATATATACATATTCTCAGTAAAAAAAAAGAAAATGCTGTGAGAATGTAATTGAAGTCTTGGGTTAATGGGTTTTTGGCCCAAAGCAACAGCAAGTATTGCAGTGCTGCTTCTGTGTGGTTCATATGACCCAAAGGGGATGTTGTGATTTTGAGGGGTGGGGGCCTCCACTAAATGATGAATGATACTAAAGCTTTAGTTTAGAAACAGGATGTTTGCTGATTGGAACTGATTGGAGGGTTTTCAACTTGGATTGTATCTTGGCACAACTGAAAACATCTCAAATAGTGAGTTATCTTACACTAATACAAACAAATCAATATTTGCTACTTATGAATTTATAATCTCATCAAATCGATAAAAAGTTAAACATAGGTGTTAACCAGTTGAGCCCCCGAGTATTTCAGGTCTCAGGCTCGAAAATGACATTCCCAGAACAAATGTCTATATCTTCCCTTCTAAAAGGCGTAAATTAATAATCTTTTTTCTCAAAGCAATGATAACCTGTGAGTTGGATGTAGAAAAGTCAGAATCAATATTGAATTTTTTTATTTGAAAGTAAATTCAGAAGATTTCACGTAGAAAACTTCAGCTCATCTCTGACCAAAACCAGAACACGCACACAGCCTAGCATATGACCACTGTTTTAAGCCGGTTGTTGAGCAGTAGCAGATCTGACTAAACACTGATAGTCCAGAGTTTGGTTTTGCCTGAGGCCTGTACTACGAAGCCGGATTTTCGCTTAGCAAGGTAACTTCAGGGTAAACTCTGGGTTTCCGGTCCTACAACGCTGGTTCACTTCTTACCGGGTTAGATCTCCATGATAACTTATGCTGAACGGCAAACCTGCTCCGGAGCAGGTTAGGTTGCAGGCTAAGAGATCAACTCAGTGAAAGCACTGCCTGCTGACCAATCAGAGCTCAGTGTGCGGAGTTTAAAGCGATCAAGTCATATTACAGGAGAAAGGAAATACAGAAAAGCTGCCGTCGCAGGAAAGACGGCCGGCAAAAATCACCGACTGTGTGAACGTGAACATTAATAGAATATCACCTCCCATCTTCAGAGCAATCTTACATTAGCGTTAAAGGTCCCATGTCATGCTTTTCCGGTTATTACCCGTTGTGTGTTATGTAGCTTTTTCTGCATGTAAACGGTCTGCAGAGTCAAAAACCCTCAAAGTACACCCTGTAGAGAGTAAAACTCTAACACAGAAAATACCTGTCTATGCTGCCCCAGAACGCCTCGTTGGACATTTCTTTTGTTCCATTGTTTTCTTCCTGGGTACAGTGACGTGCTCATACCCAAATGGACCCATTGGTCCAAATGGACCAATCCGTGGTGCCGTTACGTTACGTCCACGGACTGGTCCAAATGGACCAATCCACGGACTTCCTCACACACACACACACTCAATCTTTTCTCAGCTGCAGCTCTGCCGATTTCTCCTCCCTGAGACAGTGGACTGTGAGTCTGTGTGTGAGCACACACACAAACTCCCAGCCAGGCTGCGGGTGTGTGTGTGTGCTCGGGCTGGTTTCGGGCTGGGTTTCGCTGTCTCGCAGAAGGCCACTGGGCTCATAGGGAGGGGGGGGCAGGAGCTCCAACAAGCCGTTTAAGACAGAGAGTGAACACACATACTATACAGAGATGCTGTATGAGAAACGTGAGTTTGGAACATTGCACAATGTAAATCTATTCTAGTAGACCTCAACAATGGAATCATGATCAGTAGAAATGGCCATGACATGGGACCTTTAAAAAAGCTTACTTAAATATCTGCCACAACATAAGTAACCGGATCAAAGTAACATTACATACAGTCTGCGGCACTGTGAGTGCAGATGTCGATGTGTCCCATTATCATTCACATCACATCACATCATAATGTATCATATATCTCCTTATCTGAGTCAGCTTCTTGAGCCGTATCTGGCCGTGCAACACTCACAGTGTCACATACTGGATGCAGAAGTATTATTTTAAGCAACACATTAAGTTGACGAAACACTCGAGTCAAATGTAATTAAAGTCAGATCCACTCATGTCTTAGTGATATCATAAACCTGTTAATGTACGCATTAAAACACTTGTTCTGTTACCAGCTGTATTCACCTTGCAGGTGCAGCTCTGTGGCTTTGATCCTGGATCAAGTGTTTAAGTCATAGATGTTTAAAGTTTAACTTCTTCATATTTGTCTAATAGCCTATTATAGTTTACTTTTCATTCAGGAAGTATGACGCTGCGCTGTCAGTACGCTTCTCCATGTTTGTGATTGGTCAAATGTTGCTAACCCCACCCCTTTCATGTGAACGCGCACTCAGCCGGACAGAGAAACCCTGGCTTGAGTTACCGAGTTGATAACCAGCTTCGTAGGATCGCTTAGCGAGATCGCGTTTGTTTTGGGTTAGTTAAGCCTGGTAACTCAAACATATCCAGGGTCTGTTGAACTGGATTCGTAGTACAGGACTCTGAAGGTTCTGAACCAGGTTTCCAAACATAAATGGGGCGAAGCCTGCGAGCTAGTTCAGGCAGTCAACTCGAGCACTTATGCTGCATTCATACATAACGCCCCCTTGTCACTCTACAACCAACCAGACAGAGTCTCCTTAATATGCCGCTCTATTTAACCTGCAGATCTCTCTCCATGCATTGCTTGCTGCTGCTATTGCTGCAGCTACCTCTACGTCACTGCTGCTTGCCTGCTGCCACTGCTGTGTTCACTTGCTATTGCTGCGTTCATTTGCTATTGCTGCGTTCATGTTCCTGCTGCTGTGTTTCATGTTGCTGCTGCTTGCCTGCCGGTGCTGTCCTTGCAAATGTCTATTGCAATCTCCGACTCTGGAACCGAATCATCATAAGCAAGAAGCCGTAAGAAATGCCTCATTCCCGAAACACAGGCTAGCTCAGAGCATGGTTCAGACGCCGCTGGAACGAGCCACAGCTCCCGCACGACACACATTCAGGTGTCCCTTCCGTCCTCATCTGGAGTAGCTTTTAATATCCTTTGGGCCAAAGGAAGTCCCGAGTTCTACGCCAGCTCCGGTAACAACCCCTCTCTTGTGTGTCAGCTAAGAGTCGCACTGTCTCTCGGTCGGCAGGTATTTAAACACCAAAAAAGGCAGGAGCAAGCTCACTCCGGCATTCTCAAAGTACCTGCCATCCTGTCCTACCTTCTCGAAGTAACATCAGCGCTTGAAGCCTTTAATTGCACGATATATTCCCGTGAACAAACTCGATTTCCTCTGCCTGCAATGTAAACAAATGTTTCTACTTCCGCGTTCAACCACGTTGTGCCGCTGACGTCACACTCCCGAGGATTCTGGGAATTGGAGTCCCAGATCCAGCCACGAGTTCTAGCTTCCTGCCCCCTGCAGCAGCAGTTCCTTAGGAATCGCATCTTGGCAGGTATATATAATGCTATTCTGCATAGCAATGTTTTATTATGGAAATATTTAGCCTGCAGTAAGTCATATTTGAGGCAATTATACAGAAGTTGTATGTGTATAAGTATTTATACTAGGCCTACTATAAATCAATGAAATTAAAAACGGAAATAAATTAATAATTTCCATCACGTGAATATGAAGGGAAGCTCGATACATTCTTGACCATCATTTTAGACTTCAATCTCCAACAGTGTCTTTTCTATGAATACCATGAATTATTCTCTGCCAAGCGGCCATGTACATTTAATCACCTACCAAAGAAGAGTTTTTCCTTACAGGAATTAAGCTCTACCTGCAATATTCTTCCCCTCGCTGGGTGTGCCTCAGGAGGCTTCATGCTGCAAATCGTTTCTAAGCTCTTTCTAATCACAGATGTTTGTCAATGACCTTATCACAGGCTTAAATCAAGGTTTCTTAGCAGGTTATGCTGGCTCCCAGGGACCCATGTCTGTTGAAACCTGCACTCAAGATTGAAGTTTGCACTGAAGGAGCCAGGAGTATTACACGTGCTGCTATTTAAACGTTTAAAAACACGACAGGCCCCTAGCCTAGTGCTAGGAGGAATTATTCTAGCAACGTTTCTTATTGAGCCGTTAGTTCCTCATGATTATTCTGTTAAGAGTATTAATAACTACTAAAGATTTTTCCCGTTTCTTTGCTCTGTAGATGACATGGCAGGGAAAGCAGACATCCCATATGCCTTCTGTGATATATATATTTTAAGGTTTTACAATCAAATGTGCATTTGGTTGCCATAGTAGCCCACGTTTCTTTGACACCTCATCAGAAGCAGTATGCTGGATTCTCTGCAACACCTGTAAGCACCCCTTGGTGTCCATCTTTTAACCATTTCCTAGTTGTTAACTTTCCCAGATAAAACTCTTTCAGAACATGAACTGGAAGCCCTTCCACACGTCTAGAATTATCGGTATTATTCTCGATAGTGTGCTGATGCAAGCTTTACTGCCACCAGACAAGCTGTCCCGCATCAGAACAGCCATAATTACAATTCATGTTATTTATTTAGCGCTTTTCCAAGTGTTCAAAGTGCTCTACGTTATACTACATATTAGACTTGTAATACATTCAATACTGATTACTGCCTTCAATTATGGTCTCCCACTGGTAGTCTCTCTAAAAGAGATGTTTTATATTTATAAGGAACAAGCGCTAGCCTTTCTGTTCAAACCTTAAGGCACCATAGTCTTAGGTCACGTTCACACCTGCTTGGTTAGTACTATTGAATCGGTCCCTGTAGCGTTAACCCCTTGATGCAGTTCGTTGGATTGGTGTGGAAGCAGTCCGATACCTCTGCTCCGCCTAAAAGAGGTGGTCTCGGATCGCTCACTAGTAAACTCCAGAGAGGTTCATTGCTGGTGTGACGCAGTCCGCATCAAAACATGGGAAACAACTATTTGCGCGTCATCGCTTGTTTTGCTATCTATGCTGTGTGCAACATCCAGTAACCTTTAGGGTCATGCATTCATTCTGGTGACTGCTTACCTCACTGGTCCCCTGTGTACAGAGAAAAGGCAGTGGTACAATCTCATCAGAGCCACCTGTCATCGGTGAAACCTCCTCACTGCATAACGTCTCATTATGTGTTATAATGTTTTAATGCACGTTGTCCGATTTATAATCCTATGCGCCGGCCGCAGAGTCTGTTGATGTACTCTCCAGATTAACAGCAGTATGAAAATAACCTGCCAATGCTTCATGCAGGCTACTGTAGGAATTGCTGGGATCTGCATTTTATCTGCTTAATGTCCCGCCAATTGTTGAAAAAGCATCTCCGTACAATGACTTTAGTTTACAGTTCATAGTCTGTTTGAGGTTGCCTGGGTGAACGCAAACCCAACCTTCTGCAAATGTAACGATGTAATACACTTGCGTCTGGTGTAAAGACGCGGACTATTCGGCATGAATGCAATCTTAGAGATGGCTGTTGCTCAGATCTTTGGTCCTTAGCTCCTCTGCGACGAGTGGAAGGTTATGTTCATTCTTTTATAATGACCTTGTGGTGTCCTCAGATCCTCTCTAGTTACTTACAGATGCTGCGCCTTCTGCTGGTTTGGGGGATTTCACAATGAGTGGTTTGCCCCACCAGCTTGCCATGCCCTTCGTTCAAGCAAATGACTCTGGATCTACACGTCAAGCCCCTCAAGGATTTCCCATATTCTGCCTCCAACCAAGAGCATGATTCAAAGCATACAATTCAGCTTGGTACTTTATCTTCTTCTGTCCCTCCTCTGTGTACTTATGCAATAGATATAATAGTTGTTCATGCATTAATTGTATTTTCATTTGAATCCTGCAATCTTCAAGTGCTAAGTATTAAGCCACGCTAGAGTTCATTAATTTGCTCCTCAAGGGCCTTAAGAAGGCACGTCCTCCACGCAATGATAAAGACTGCCTCTTAACTTTGCACCCGTGCAAAGGTTAATGTCTAAGTTCAGGCAAAGGGGTTTCACTATACATTGATAACGTCAGATGCAGTTGTTACAGCTTTCTATTGGTTTCTCAGGTGGCGAATATACACAGACCTCTCACCTTTTGATCCTCAGCATAATCTCTCCCTTACTGAATTAACTTTGGAGATCAAATATACACACTGTTTTTGAAACATTCAATGTCTGACATTTCTGTTTGCGGAGACAAGGAACCCCGAATAATCATTGCTAAAACTAACACTGTTTTCTTTGTCCTTTATCTTCCATGCTGAACTTCTCGCATCATTGCCCTCTGACACATGGGTCGGCACCCATGTTTATTCGATGGCTGCAAACCCAACGACGAGGGTTCTCCTCCAAGCTGCGCGATCTCTGCCTAAGCTGCGACCTGCCCCCAGATCGCTATTCCCACTGTTTAAGAATCTGCACAGCCACAACCACAGCTCTATATCCACCTACCTCAACCCTGAGTATCCTGGGCCGTCGGTCATCTTCTGCCCACCAGTGCTATATCATGCTTCACAGGAATGAGATCCTTTCAGCACAAACAACCATGAGCTCTTGCACTACTCAATGAAAGAGTAAACGTTCAAAGATGCATAGATGTTATTGCATACCAGGTGGTTGCTGGGTTAGATTATATGTATTCTATTATAGTATATTCCCCTCATAGCTGCATGCTTGGGGGGGGAAAGCTCATTGTCGCTGCCTTAAAGACCTAGATACAGCAGTCTTGATAGGTAGTATATTCCCCTCAAAGCCACGGTGCTGGGGGGGGGGGTCGGCACTGGTCACTTCCAGGCCTACACATAGCAGTCCCTAGGTAGTATATTCCCCTCAAAGCCACGGTGCTGGGGGGGGGGGGGGGTCGGCACTGGTCACTTCCAGGCCTACACATAGCAGTCTCTCTAGGTAATATATTCCCCTCAAAGCCGCGGTGCTTAAGGGGGATGGCTTTTCGGGCTGTTCCCGGGCCTTCACATAGCAGTCACTAGGTAGTATATTCCCCTTAAAGCCGCGGTGCTTAAGGGGGATGGCTTTTCGGGCTGTTCCCGGGCCTTCACATAGCAGTCACTAGGTAGTATATTCCCCTCAAAGCCGTGGTGCTTAAGGGGACGGCTTTTCGGGCTGTTCCCGGGCCTTCACATAGCAGTCTCACTTAGTAATATATTCCCCTTAAAGCCGCTGTGCTTAGGGGGAATGGCCACATGGCAGCTCGCCAGGCCCTCTACTTATCAGTCTTACATCACCAGCGTCAGGCTCAGGCTACGCAGTTTTGGGGGATAGTATCTAATCTCCACGCAGTTTTGGGGGTTAGTTATTTGATCATCACTCATCGTGCTATGTATATCTATGGAGTGATGATGCCCGAGCCTAGTCGCCAAACTCAACTATATGCTGCTTCTAATAAACATGTTAAAGGAACACGTGAGTTGTCTGACTGAAATGAGGCGAAGCCTGCGAGCTAGTTCAGGCAGTCAACTCGAGCACTTATGCTGCATTCATACATAACGCCCCCTTGCCACTCTACAACCAACCAAACAGTCTCCTTAATACACCGCTCTATTTAACCTGCCAGATCTCTCTCCATGCATTGCTTGCTGCTGCTATTGCTGCAGCTACCTCTACGTCGCTGCTGCTTGCTGCCCCAGCTTCCACCTGTAGGCTCGGGGGTTAGTTATTTGATCATCACTCATCGTGCTATGTATATCTATGGAGTGATGATGCCCGAGCCTAGTCGCCAAACTTAACTATATGCTGCTTCTAATAAACATGTTAAAGGAACACGTGAGTTGTCTGACTTAACTCTGCAAATAACAAACTCTCTTCCCAAACAATGTAATTTAACTCATTTGTTATACCTTCAAACGCCTTGTATATCATATTTACCAGACAAAGACTTCTGGCCTTGTGAACTATGATGTTTGTCAGGACAGAATGTTAAGGGTGGATTTTAAAATCACTATTGCATTTTCCCCATAGACAACCATTATAAAAGAGAAGTCTGCAAACTGGTAACAGGACTCATACAACTGCAAAGAGGTTTTTTCCCGCAGAATGCTGGGAGAAATATAAGAATGTGTGAAGCATTTATTTTGTCACATCAGCAGGTCACTTAGGTTTATTGTTTTACCAAGTGACCTCACCGTATGAGTGAACCACTTTGGGTTTATGTATAAAGAGCAATAATGTGATGTAAATAATCTAGAGTCACTTCAAAATGCTTCCAGCTGACAGGGGAATAACATGAATTCATCCATTGATAAAAAAACCTTTATCTTTGGTTCCTGCACTTCTCTGCAGAACTTTATTCCTACAGATGTTTCTCAGAAACAGAGCTGCTCAGCAGAACCACAGCTTTCCTGAGTGGCCAATCATAAAGGTCGGGCACAACGTTTAAACTGTCTAACCCTTCTCTTGCGTTAGGTCATACCCCCCTTCCCATACTATTTTCGGTCAAAATTGACCGGTGTGTTTTGCACAGTGATATCTCTGGAACCCCTTATCCAATTTTGATGGTTGACTTCTCATTTGAACA